GAAATTAATTTATTGTTCTAATCAACATGCGTTTCATTTTTTTTCTGTATCCATTGGCGAAACAGCTTTTACCTATATTTGAGCGATGGTCGTTGCTCATCCCGGTATTCGGTTTGAAGTCGATGTTGGATACTGTTTCTGCGTACATCGCGTTCTTCAGTCGGGCTGTTGAGTGCAGTAAATCGCAGTCATAGGTTTGAAAATCGGCATTCGAGAAAGGAAGACGCTGGAGTTCGAACTGCGCCTGCACTCCTTTGAATGGGGTTTAAACTCGCAGCGAAAGTTTATATCAATGCTGCGGTCGAAGTGCATAATTATGGTATGCAAAGCGGTCTTCCTTTGTCTACAACTTCCTGTTGTTGATCATGATGACGAACTTTGAGTTGTCGAATAACTAGAAGTTGACGGCAGCGCCGTGAGGGAATGTGCCCTGTTATTCGGTACGAATGCGCAATTGGGTCAAGAGCTACCCAACGCCGGCTTGGGGTCTGTTTCTTTTGACTGTGGTATTAGCATTAAACCGCATGGCTATCGACATTTCGCAGGGTGGTTAACTGGTCATTAGGGTCTGGTCACACAGTTTGGGATGCAAAATTGTTGCGTATGGTGCTTCAGATTCAACAATAGTTGCGCACACCCTAAATACGAACTAAATTATTTGGACTCTTTTGAAATGATGTTTCAATAAACCAGTATTTGTAAACTTTAATCCCAAGTCAAGTCCAGAATCCCTGTAAAAATTTATTTGAAAGAACGTTAACTGCTTAGATTTATGTTTGGCTTCCTTTACCATATGGTGTGTTGGCCACCGACATTTTGTCGGTCCTGTTTCGGTTCCTACGACAGCAACTGATTCGGGTTAAACAGATAATGGTAGTATGCCTGAAAATCAACCGTTTATTGTGCTCGAAGCTTTCCTAGTCCTAAAAATTATCAAGGTAAAAATAACCATTGTCATGTCTGCTTGTTCTGTGTAGGTAGTAGCGTCGGCATAAATGTATTTAATTAAGTTTATTTTCAACCCCGATGCTTACGTTGCAGTGTTTATCGTTTATTCAACCTGAAATACTACTTGCAGAGAGCGGAAACTATTATGAAGTCCTTTCATTGGAGGAAATTTTGTGTATCAGTGATACATGAGGACTTTTATGAGTGCTTGATTTTGTTTATCATTTTACAATGGTAATTCATCGTAGTTCAGAATCTTTATGCAACGAGTCTCCATCCCCCTGATCATGCTCTCTAAGATTTAGTAAAG